GAAGTCCAAAAGTAGAAATGTAGCATTTGATCACCTACTGCGAAAAGCTTTGCAGAAACCTTATGAGTCCAGCTATATACCGTAGGTAATGATTGTTGCACAATGGACAAAGGATTTCTGCTTTTAACACACGTATTACACATGGTTTCCTCACTGTCCATAGTTCTGCTTTCTCAATCATCCTGCGTGAGTCTTTTGTCTAGTCACATAAACCAGACCAACAATAACCTATTGCGGCCAGCAGGTGCCAGGTTGTATGTACCGTTCTCACTCCCCAAGTTCAGCTGCATGGGGTGGAGATTGTGTAGGGTTTAGTAGTGATGTACTCAGGCACACCAGTTTGACTGGATTAAAGCAAACGCAGTCGGCCTCTATTCCCACCTCTAAGTCTACTGGGAGAAGCCAAGTGCCAGAGAGATTTCATGCCTGAGACAGAGGAGTTGGAATTGTGTGTTCCCTATAGACAATCCTAACCAGCACTTCCTTCTAGCGCATCTAAGAACGCTCAATCCCAGAAGCAGACTGACAGCGTGAAAATGGGAATTTGCCACCAAAGCAGCATCTTACTATAGACAATGATTGGCCAACCAGGCTAAAGGTCTCCCTACTGTCTTTTCTACTAAAATGATAAAGCAATTTTCATATACTCCAGATGGTGTAAGATTAACGGTAAAATTCACAGAAACAAAGCAAAAAACATGATCAAGGTATACTATATTGTACTTTACAGGGGGCAAATGTTAAGACACATTTTACAGAACAAACAAGGATCAAATAGGCCAAAACCAAAGGCACGTTAAAACAGTCTTCTACTGAACCCTCCTAATTTTTTTGTACACAGATTGCACAAAATGCTAAATCAAACAGATTAGTTCTCTATGATGGCTGAGAACATGTCATATTTCTGTGTGTGAGGAAAATATTGTCACTGAGTTGACAGCATTTATTTGTTTACTAGAAGGATGAAGAAATAGGAAAGCAACCAAATCCAAAGTGTTTTGAAAACTGTTTACGAACTATTCAGCATTAGAAAATATGTATTTGTGAGTTTGTAAATAATCTAATAAATGATTGAAAATGTATAAAAGATGTGAGAAAGTGCATATCTCTTAATTTCTCTTAGAATATTGAACACTAAATGATACAAATTAGTAAAACGGTGAGTGCTCTCTGTTAGCATAACAATATTCACATGGCAAGGGTTGTTCTCTAATGTGTGCCAGTTTATTTTCCTCCTGTCCAAAACCTTCATTTAAAAGGGCTCCCATTTACACGCCTGAATGGAATCGCAATTTATAGCCCTTCAAAATTACAGCCCATTAGCAATATCAGGGATCAAAATAAAAATCAGGGTATATCATGACATTGAAAACACCCCACTCCACATCCATCCAGTGTGTGTGGTGTATGTGTGAATGGAGACATAGAATGAAAAAACACAATGCAGGCCAAATAAATAATGGGCTACTTACCGCAACTTTGCTCCCAGTTATCTGCATGCAGCGATCAGCGGAGGTTAATGTGCAAAAAGACAAACACAGCACAATCGTTAGTTGGCCAGACAATCTTCTCAATGACCAGACAGGGACATTTATGTGGCACGGCAAGGGGGGAGCGCACAGTTATACCCTCAGAGCTAAAAATACTTAACTCTAACTTAAGAAAATGCCAGCATGGTCAAGTTGTAATTCTAAAATGCAAAATTAAAGCAAGAAAATATTAAAAAATTCAAATATATTCAAAGTTACCTGATGGTAATTTATTTGCATGCACTGTTAGAGGCATCAACTACTGTGGAAGTGTGAATCAAAAGGGTAGACATGCTGGTTTTCACACAGGGGTTCTATTAAATGATTAATGAAACAGGCTGTTGTTGTAACGTTGAATACATTGGGGCATAACAACTAACTTTTATGAAACTTGCAAGTCTTTTGCAAAGCCCCTAAGTTGTGTCAAGTGGGGCTGAGTGTCTTTAGAGCAGGGCGATTAAGTATCCATCTCGATACATAGGACGGGATACAATATGAATCTAGATACAGGGAATTTTCAATACCATATATTTCTAAATGATTTGAAAGGCTCCACCCTGTTTTAAATTAAAAAAATATTGATGCTTTTCTCTTATTTATTTACTCATTATATTTTTATTTGATCGGGACTGAACAAGAAGCATTGTTTTAATCAACCGATGTCCTGTTCATAGACTACTATATTCTTCTAAGAATTCTGAATATTTTACTAAATTTAAAAATCAGCATTGCATGTTTTTATTTTTTATTTTTGTTAATTAAAACCTTTTTATTTGCACAACTTGCACAAAATACAGTCTGGAGTGCACAGTGAAGAGGTTTGGGATTGGTTTACAGATTAGACAAGCACAACAACATGAACATGGAAACTGAAAGTGGCCATTGCAGTTGAATTGCAAAGGGCGCTGAGGCCTTCAATCAAACAGCTGTCTATTACACTCTGCGTTATCTGCCAATGCAGCTCTTCTGTCGTCTGACTGTTCTGGACTCAACCTGGTTGCCCATCAATAATGGTATGAAGATAAGTGCGTTCATCACTGTGAAAATGTCCTTCTTATGGTTACATTCACATTGTCCTGCAACAACATGCAAGATTTACACACTTTATATGTTTTACTAATATTGTTTAATATTCTCTATCATTTTATTTGCAGTTTATTGCAGCCACAACATTTTTTCCTTTTTTTTTTTTTTTTGCTCAAACCACTTTTAATAACGGGAGCAATTTACACTGAATAAATTTTTAACACCTGCCTGGCACTTCACACAGGAGTTAATGTCTATAAGATAATGTACATATCTTTTCAACTTGACAACAGCAGCTGGCATCTTCTTGAAAGTAAAACCAGAATAGGGGAGAGGTGTGTCACTGTGAAATGTGTTTCCAAATAAGTACTATACAAAAACTATCGCCAATTCCCTCAATGGACTTATTGACATAGCAGTGGATATTTGCAATGTTTTCATAACATACAAAAACACGTTTAAGTGTAGAAAAAGGGCTTGGATAATTGGGGATGAGGCCTTTTTGTGTAATGCATGAAACATTTGTGCAAACTGAATAACAGAACAATAGTGGCTTCATCAAAGTGAACCACACCCCTCCTCTATACAAGACCCTGCCATCACACTCCTTTTATATTTGAGACGCAGACGGCTTGGATTGATGCGCTAAATTATTCACTGTCAGCAGAGGAGTCAATCAGAAGAATGTGAGTGATTGCGTTGTTGTTACAGGGATTTTGGCAGCATTAATTGTGTTGGCACAAAGTGTTAGGAGGAAAGAAGAAAAGCATTTATATTTTGCTAAGGTGAGACAGAAAGCAAATGTTCATGCAAAGCTGATGGTCAAGGACATGGGCAGACTTGTGAAATCGGAGCCGGATTCCATTAAAAACAACTCCCATTCAAATGATGGCGGTCAATGCTCTCATGGGGGGGGAAGACATTCTATTATGAGTTCGTAATGGAAGTAATTTTACCGCCTCCTGCTGGCATGGGAGTGTGCCTAATCTTGCCTGGTGATAGTCTACATGAGAAGTGGCAAGTCAGAAGCAAAGACTGCAATAGCTTTCAAGTGAAAATACAATGAAAAAATATTTTATACCAAAGTGGACACATTTTCAATTCATGCAAAGATTACATATGATTAATAAATAATTAGGAAAGAACAAACTAAATAGTGCAAAGGCCCTCCTGGAGTCCACAAACCAAACAACACGCGGCTTTCAAGTGGGAAAATAACTTGATCCAAAGCATCACACCAACAGAGACTGGCATCAGGCAAAAAGGCACACCTAATGATCATCCATCACTATAATTACAGAAATACTCTATTTATATAATCTATATAACATAATTTGATGTATGGCAAAATAGCATAAAGGACACAGCAGAAACTTCCTCTACATTTTTCAATCTGGATGATATAACTTTAGTATATACAGTATTTGCATATTATATTCCGGCTATTATATTGGCTATTATTATTATTATATGTTCTGAATTTTGAATGCAGTGGATGTGCTGAATGCACTGGCGGATTAGTTGTTGTTATTCGAGTCTGGATATACTTTCATATTTGGATCAAATGTGTTAATCCATAGAAAGTGGTTGTATTGCTAGGAATCTCTCAGCCGTTTCAAATTGTATATTTTTATGTTTTTTATACAGTTTTATTTATTTATTTATGTATTATTTACTTATTTATTATATTATTTAAAGTATAATTCTATGACACATCCTATGCGTAGATACTCTCCTTTTCTATCCCCCATTGAGTCGGTTCTGAACTCCGTTAAACCTGATAGAAAGATGCAGATAGACTCCACATATTGTAAACTGGCCTTTGACTGCAGAGATTATGTTATTAATTTAAATAAAGCATTGATGCTCACAAAGCTTAACGGCCCCTGTGTGGAAATCAATCTTTTCAGATAATAATCACGATCAATAATGTCAGTTAATTACCATAACAATTAGAAGGGTCATAAATGAGCAAGTCAAGATGGAGCACCAGGTTTAGTACAAAGGGGAGAAAGTATGGGCTGTTATTCCTACCCCGAATCTGCTGGGCCTACACCAACTCCTTTGATTAAACATTAATAAGATGCCTTTTTTTTTTTTCACCCAAAAGATAGAAAAGCTACTAAGTGAGCTACTAATAAAGTTCAATGTAAAACAAACCATGTAAGGGGATGTAATGTTTTACCCAAATTGGATAACAGTAGTTACGGTAAATACAATCTGAAGCTTTGAAGCAATAAACTGCAGTAATGTCAGCGGATCAACATTTATTCCCCTAGTTTTTACTTGACTAGCTTTGATTTAAAATATTCACTAGTTCAGTGCATTCACATGCATAGACACAAACTGACGATGAATAGGTAGCATGCAGGTCTAACGCTGGACAATCAGTGACCATCCACCTAGCACTTGAGAGAGTGGCTACAATTACGTTTCTCAGAGGGTCTATCTCGGCCCGGTGCACTACGATACAGCACAAAACGTGGATTTAGATTTAGGCATGAGATGAGCAGACAACAACAGAAGTAGTGCACATGAACAGATAGGGAAGGAGGCAACAAAGCAGGAGATTGGGTAAAACTTGAAATGGAAAGTAGTGTAGCGTGCCATTATGAACCAATTATTATGATACACTTGGCACTCTGGTATGTAATGTAAAAAATGTTGTGCGACTTACAGATTTGGCTGTGGCAGAAATGTACTGGACCACCATCTCCCGCTTGGTGCTGAGGTCCTTTCCACGCAGAGGGGCTTTGCGATCCTCATTTAGGTTCATGTCCTCCTACATGTGCACACAAGGAGAGTGCAGTGAAAATTAAGACAACCCAGGAATGGAATAATAAAGGGGATGAAAATGACATAACATGACCCTAATATGTTTTGTTCAATAAAAAATAAATAACATAAAAAATACATTCAGATTGTTAATACTGGCATATTTAAATTTTGCATCATAGAAATAAATCCTCTCAAAGACTGTCTACCGTTTACACAAACCCTTCCCCCACCTTCACCTTCAATGGAAGAAATGAAGACATGTTAAGGAAGGACATATGTTCTCAGACCACAGAAATATTTATAATTAATGTTTTTTTGTCCTTTTTATTTTTGCTCAAGGAGCGGCCTTTTAGGTTTAAATTACAATTTCAACAACATCAAAAAAGTGGCCTGCCACCTGGGTCTATCTGCAGTAAGTTTCATTTGCTGCCTGTGCATGATTAGGACATAAGGTACAGCAACATAATTCACTAATTATTAGTCCTTGAAACCACCGCAGCAAGGTTAGAGCACACTGTACATTCTGGCCTGAATGGGATAACAAAATCAAACAAGGGCTCCTCTATTGAGGCCGTGCGGGCGCATCAGATGGCTGGATAGCCAGTATGTGTGTGTCATTGGGAGTATTATCTTTGTGCTTCTTTAATTCTACATCACAAAAGGGGTCTTTCATGTGAGAGACGTCAGGGGATGGAGCGAAGGCCGGACAGAGCACTAAAAGCCAGAGAATGACATGATGATTAGAATGGAAGGGATGTTTATCAGAAGTACTCTCCGACAAAGACACGGCTAAAAAGAACCCAGTAAAAAACATCCTGCTTAGGATTTGATGCAGTGGCGCTGTAGAGTCATGCTGCCCTCTGCTGGGGAACAACGACACTAGTATGGTTCATTTCATTTGGCAGTGATTTTTCTCCAAGGTATTTAGTATTTAAACAGTTAAACCTAGTGCACTGTATGTCATCATCACTGTAGACTCGGTGGTGAAAAGCTCTCCCCCATGTAATCTGATTCAAAGAGTTGTTCCTTCATTCGTCAGTGAGGCATGCACTAGTATCCCACCCAGGGGCACTGTGACCTAAATTCTTCCAACTACATTTCCTCTAGTAAAAGACCCTCAGAGAAACACCATTAATGTCATTTTGGAACAGACAAAAGGCAACGTAGCTCCCATTTAAAATGGCCATGTTTCTTCAGCCAACAAACAAGAGGTTTTTAATTAATCTCTGAACCCAGGAATTTTATCTGCTTAATTGGCATTCAAAAGGCAAGCCTTGGTGAATGTGTGGTAGGAGGAGCACAGCAGTGAGCCTGGGGGACGCGTGTGAGGGGGCAAACTGGAAAGAAACGAGGCCTCTGTGTTGAATCTCCAAAATGATTAATGCTCTTTTATTAATTATGCCCTCGCAGGCTTCATAAGAGTCCCAGGACATTGCGGACCACGCTGAAGCTCACACTGCAATGATGAGATTGGGCTCACACTGACAAGAGACACAGGCAAGAGAAGTGTTTGTTTGCAAAACAACTCCTCCTGTTTATATTTGTAAGAAAGATTGAAAGCGTAGTTTGCTAGAAGTGGTGTCGATATTTTCTATTTTTATTTACCTGTAATGGGTTATTCATTTAAAACACTAATAGCCTTTTTGGTGGTTCACTGTTAGAATAAAAATTAAATCAAATATGAACGTGAACATTCAAACTGCTTCTAATTCCTTTCCTATTCCTTTGATTAATCTGAGTTGTGAAATGTAAGTGATTGTTTCACAATGGGTTTTATCTGATAAACTTTGTGGAGGTTGAACGAGCTGTGAACATAAAACTATTAGAAATATGCCTGTGTAGAAGTGACTGAAGGAAAAGCATACTGCAAATAACACACGAGTTGATAGGCTGTGCTTTCAATTGATAAATCACCCATTAAGGATGTGCACCCTTCAAGAAATGCCACTAGAACAGAGACATACACAACTTGCAGAATTGCATCTCTCGATGGTTGGCTTTAAAAATCCTGGAGGGCTCATTTAGTTTTGCTCCCCACTGACAGAGTGTCTGCTGTATTCGTATTTTCTTTGATGACCTTTCCGTCACATACCAGTGCTATTTAATGCTTCACATTGCAACCAGTAAACCCAATTCTTGAGAAAAAGTACATTTTCTACCAGTCATTAGTGCACAGCTGGCAGTCCAGCTAATATGGCCTGGGGCGTGCCTTCATTTGAAGTTAGCAAGACATCTGAAGCTGTAGCTTGGGCTTCATCACAACAATCAATAACTTTAAAGGTGGATAGACAAACAGAGTGTATGACAGCAAACAAGCTAACTACCACAAAGACACAAAGAATAACTGCCATCAAATAGAAAGTACCCACAACTATCTATTGAGTGTGCTACATCAAAACTAAAAAAGTTTGCAAGAGCAGTGATCGCTTTTAAAACACTGACCTATTCAACATTTGTCTTATTAGCTTGATGATATACAGCTAAATCCTTGAATTTCAATCCCATTAAAGTGACAGACATGTCTTCTGTGTTGACCATCACGGTGCAGTATGAGGCCTGGGTCCTAATGTCACGCTGCTCTGAGCACAAACATCGTAATAGAGAAATGAACCGAGTGACAGGAATGAGCACCCAGACACTGGTCCAGTGAGAACCAGGGCCATCAGCTACATTGCTCCCTGCAAATAAAGGCTTATTGTGTGAAAGCAAAGGTAGCATATACTGTATACACAAAGATTATCCACAATAGTTCACACACACAATGAACAATGGAGCTGCTCCACCTCACTTCAAACGCGAGGAGAATTAATGTTTTCTGCTATATTTTAATGCAGTAAAAAAAAATTTTTTTAAGAATTTTAGTAAGAGGGGTCACAAACATGAACAGTGCTGCGACCTTACACGGAATTTCACAGTTTGGAGGAATAGGTCGTTTAGTTTTATCTCGCTGCTAAAGCCCAGAGCAGATTAAACGCTAGACTGGAGGCTCTCTAATTAACATCTAAAACATTATTAGTGACACATTTTGTTTAACCTGTTTTATCTTCATCAAAACCTTGCGAAGGGGGCTGCTGCGGTGACAACTTGTAGGTATTCGTAGCAACGTATCAGAGAGATCACGTGGAAATCAAGGTCATCGTAAGGTCAAGAAGGTCTATTTTAAACTGATTGGCAGATGCAATTTAGGGCTATACAAAAATGAATTGAATTCAAACCAAACCTAAATTCATCCTTGCACATTACTATTATTGAATTTGTAAGATCCAACGCAACTGATAAGATAGGGTATAAAGATGAAAAATAAATGTGAGATTTAATATGGATTGGAGGTAATCTGAAATTAAACAGGCCATAAATCAGGTCAGTAGAGAACTTTAATACCCTCAAAGAAAGGAAATTCAAATTTAACTCAAATTTAAAGCTTTACTTTGGAACAGTTTACCATTCAAAACAATACTATTTATTGTTGTGTAAGTAAAGAATTTATTTTATTGGGGTGTGACACATTTTATATTTCCTCCATCTCAATACAGCAATGCTTTTGCAGACTATACAAAAACTCACCATCATCTTCTCAAAGAGGTCAATGATTTCTTTCTCTGAGAGGTTCATAGAGCGGTCGTCAAATAGCGGTTGTGGAACTGGGAGTTCGCCCTGCGTGGGGAGAGGGTCCGTGGGGTGCTGGATGAGCGGTTTCTCCTTCTTCATTCCCTGTTTTCTGAAACTCGTAATGCGATCACGCTGAAACACAACACAAAAAAAGGTAGATAAAAAAAGCCAAGTTTAAGCCTGGGTCATGTAAAGGCCAAAAGGAGAAGGCTTGTGCTATTTTCCGGTTGGTATGATAAACTGATGCTACCATACTGTTTCATAAAGGATCTAGACATAACATATGTCATTATGATTCCTTTTATATCAGCTGCCACCCAGGTAGTAACACTAAGCTTTTATTGAAGGCAAAACGCTGCTCCGGTTTTTAAAAGTAGTGAAAGGGCTTTCTTTGCTGAATAATTAGAATGCTAGGAATATGTGTTATAAACATGAATAACAGAGTCACATTTTATTAGGAACACAATAATCCAGTACAATGTGAGAAAATCCTGAAATTGTTGGTTTGTGCAAAGTTAAATTATGATTTACCGTCTACTATTGTGGCATGATAAATGCATTGCAGCTTCTTTGACTAAATAATTCCTTCTAATATCACCATGAGTTCTGTTTGAGTATACAGTATTGCAGGAGATGACTGACCATTTGAAGCATAGAAAGTATTGATTAGTGTTTTTACCATACCATATTTACCATTTTTTGTTGACATCCAACACACTGTGATGACGGTTAATTCTGTACTAGGCTAAAGTTAGTCAATCTTAGTTACTTCACTTCAAAACAGAAAAAAAATGGAAAATATGCATGCAACTATAAATGTTAATCTGGTTTCGTACATGTATGTCTCAGAGGCATGCCAGAATATAACATCTATCAGGACATTTGTGATGGTTAGGTCGGACAAGAAAAAGGCATGTATATTGATCTAACAAACCAAAAGAAGAACATTATTTTTCTTGTTAATGTTAACAATTCATCAAAGAGCCATTAAAGGTATTAAGAAGGCCCCAGGTGGCAGCCTTTCTTTTTAAGTGCTGCTGTTATTGCAAACTAAATGATCTATGTGTTGTTCTCTGCTGCTTGGATGCTATAGGCCAAGTGTTATAACTATCATAAATTTAAATATGCAAGCTATGGCACAATAAAAAAGTCAGTTTGATTTTGAGGGTATTCTGTTGCATATAATAAGATGAGAGAACCTTTATTCATCCCACAGTGGGGAAATGTCGGTGTTGCAGCGCGAATACAAGGTGCTAAGAAAAATGAGCTCAATGAACAAGACAATCAGCTTTAGCTTTAAAATCTTCAATAATCTTTAGGTATGTTATCTTAAGAGAATGTTGTCATACTTGGAGGCTTTTGGTGTGTTTAATCAAGTTACAAGTTCATGCAAAGACAAACAGACAAAGGATAAGAGGGAAAAGGTCACCAAAATGAAAGCAAGCACCTTACCATGTCATCAGCCAATGTTTTTATGTGTATGTTCTGTCAAAGGGAGGGAAGAGTGAAAAGGAAGATCCAACAGAAATACCACAAAAACACATCCCATCTGCACATGTATTTATGTAATAGTTTGTTTGGAATACATTTTTCTGAGAGTCAGACTCTAAAGTAAACTAAAATCAATATGCCAATAATAGTTTTGCAACAGCTCAGAAAACAAATTTTTCAAGTGACTAAATATTCTCTTAATATATTGTGTTCATGTATTATTATATTTAGTGGATTATATAGCAGATCAGGCTGGGTAAAAAACATATGAAAAATGTCTATAACAAAGTACATGTGTGGAATGTGTCAAAACTTTCACCAAACATTTGAGGTGGACGAGACCAACACAACATATAAAGCATAATGGGGACCATGGACCTTCTATTTAGGACAATGGACCAACATAGTTAGGTACCCACCAAACATTAACTTAAAAGTCTCCAAAATTAAATGTTTAGTGACAACTTTTAAAACATAATTGACTGAAGAGCTTTCCAAGTTTGTCTTTTAGTAATGTGCCGTTTGTTGTTGCAGTGCTGTGGAATGGAAAATTGCTTGCATAAAAATGAATGCAGATGAAATTGCCAAAGGCTGTTGGCTGTTGGTGTGTGGCTCTGTTAAGGCGAGTCATTTGGGAACACACCTGAAACGGGAGGCAGTGGAGACAGCACCATATGCTGTGGTGCTGGGCTGTGAAGTACTAATGAGCAGTGAGGTGTGGACCGGGACTGGCCATAAAACCTGCCTCCAGATGACACTTTCTAAACTGTTGTGACCAGGGGAACCGACTGCATCCTGCAACATTTGAGCATCTTCATCATCAGCTGTCGCTCTGAGCAGTGCTAAAAACTGAAAAACACTCAGCTTGTGTCTGCAATCTGCATCGACCCACCGTTTACAACACAGGAAGCCCACCATATGCCCCTCATGAATGTTTTCTAAATTCCAAGCCAACAAACAATATACTTTTTAAAATCTTTCTTCTATTATTTTTCTTTTTACTTTAAACTTGCCATTTGAATTTCTCATGAGTCTGTAACATCAGGCAAGCTCTCTGGTTTCCTGTCAAACTGTGTGAAACAAAATCGAAATTCCAAATGAAGTACTTTAACATTTTCTAATCAATTTAACAACAATCAAACCACACTTTGGTTAATTGCCCTGACTTAAGGGCTTTTCCCTACCCATTATCTCTGCAACATTGCAACAACGCAATTTAACATCTAACAATTAAGATTGTGTGTCCTGTGGGCTTTCTTTGCTTATTAAACTTTTTCATCATAACAAATGTTTATTAGCACACACATATCCGTCTAAATAACATAATCAAATTAGCTCTGGGTCACCCCCTAATCAGCTATGATTATGACTTCATGCTCATTTTTAAACATGAAAACAGTATAATATAGCATCACTCCACAGTTTGTCATATTTCTTCAAAAATGGCTATTACTAGAACATTCTGTTCAAGTATTATAAGTTATTAAACACCAAAGTAAAACTATAAGCATCAATAAAAATATTTTATGAGTGCCAGTGAGTACAGTAAATACCAGCAGGTGGCAACAGCATCAGAATTCAGTTCTAACAATAGACAAAGACTGTTCTCATTTCACAATCTACCTTCCAGCCTCTAAATAGTAATGTCAATTATTCCAACCAATTAAAGCCGGCCATCTGTGTGTCGTCATTTTGACTCACTCACTGGAACCATCAGGATCAACTCACTAACCACGCTGCCATTGTCAAACAAATTTAGGAGATAATTGCTCTCTTTAATTAGTTCTAATAATAACAAAGTAATACTAGGAGTAGGAGCCAATGTCTCAGTAAATTTTGTTTCGGTTTGTAGCTTTCACATCTTTACAGACCTCTAATCAGCTGGGATAAAGCTCGGCTCAAACATCAACAAGTGAAGTGGTGCTAAATAATACAATTTTCATGTTACGGAGGAGCACTTTCTGTACTTTATCTATCTTTAACTTTACTTTAATGCAAATACAGTAATTTAATTTAATATTCTGCCTTTTCTATTGCACACACCTCATATCAGATAAGACAGATATGATAAGACCAGTGCAATTTAAAAAAACAATTTAAAAACAATTGCATATTTTGGGTTAGGGTTAGGGTTAGTACTGTACTATGAACACAACGTGTAGATTAGAACACTATATTACCTCTCTTCAGTTTCTATTCAGTAGATTGCAGTACACAAAAATGTGTGGAGGAGGTCGTGGTGTTACAGGTGGAGCACAAACAGGGGAAAGGAAGTGCACAAAGGGAACACAGTTTGAATGGAAGACCATGTGATTAGTGCAAACTCAATTTGGCCTCAGGTTATCGCCAGACTGCTCTGAAAGAGAGGTTCCCATCAACTGTAACTAAAACTGACAACAGGCATACATTTTAATCTTGACAGTTTAGTAGTTAAGGATAAAAATAGAAATGCAATAAATGATACCATAAACTATTACCAAAGCGTTATTATGAAATAAATACTTGCATCCGGTTACAAATTGTACAGGACAGAATCAATATCTGCAGATAATCCAGAAAGTGTCTGATGGCTCATCAACTGTTTTTTCTGACATCACAAAATATAAAAGTACAAATCAAAATACAGAATATTGCTCTGATGGCAGAATGTTTCATTTTTAAAAAAAACGGTATGTATTCCTACTTCAGTTTTAAATGTTGCTGTTGCACATCGTTTCTAAATGATGAAACAAGCCCATCAGCTGGCACAAGATAATGATATTTACATGTCTGATGAGGGTAAGGCCTAGTCTCCCTCAACTCTTAGCATTCTTCACCACTTCCTCTCTCCAGTTTCCTGACAATTAAATGTCTCACATGTGGTCCTTTCCTGTCCTGTTTCACATATTCAAGTCCCTTTAATGTAGTTTAAACAACATTGTGGCTATAAATATAAATGTGTTGTGTTATAATGAGACAAAATCCAAATAGTGATGACTGGTGATGTAAAATACCAGTTAAAAAGTCAGTATAATAAAAATACTAATGCTTGTTTATCCAACTAATCATCATATACCTCTTTAATTGTATAATCTGACTTTAGAGATTGGACAATGATTTACAGATGTATAAATAACTAGAAACTTGTAATTTGACATTATTGCAGTACTGAAAATAAAGCATAATGAGATTGGCAAAGAAAAATGTGAACTATGCTTATACATCCTCCTTGGCTCTGGTATGCACTACATGCCAAAAGCATCTTAGCCAGTTACTAGCATTCAAGGCAATACACATTTTTTGCTTTTGATTTAATCCTACTACATCGACACTTATCTAAATAAAGCCCCCAACATTGTGCTGTTTGTCCTTGGCTCTGAGTAGTATCAACATCATGGTTACAAGACGTGATCCTCCAAAGTTACTTGTGGGGGATCTGCAGTGCCAGTATTGGGAACACATGAATTGACTGTATCTTATGTTCGCATTAGATTGATTATGTTGAGTATACTATCAAGTCTAAACTAACCTTGTTGGATGATTATATTGATTGGCTCAGTCCCACTCCCTGCACAGTGAGGCAATGATTGTATTATGTCCAGTCTTCATAGTATTTCAATCATTTTATAATTGGAAATAGAGAAATTGAAAAGTGTCTGCATGATACTGCATGTTATATAGTCATGCAACACATAAATATAACTTTATAAGACCTGATATAACCTACAACAGCATAATGATCAGCCACAGCTGCAAGTAACGGATATAGTAGTGCCTCAAAGATCCATATCAAACCCTCTCTCACCAGAATCCTGTCCATACTAACACATCCACTCCAATAACTGCTCAAAAGCGTGTACACAAGCCTTTAATGAGCCACATGGTATAGTATGCAACCCACCCAGATGTTTGAATCACCCACAAGGAATGCAAGCCTATAGCTCCATAAAAGGTCAAAACGAAAGTGTTCATATTTAGAGCTCAAGCACCTAACCAGGCTTCACATGTCGTCAAAGTTTACATATTTCATCTTGTGTCGTGTTTAACAAGTATGCAAGCACACCTGATGCTCGAGTGAACCCTGGTTGACAGCTAAAAAGTTGGAGTAAATAGAGAGGACATGCTCCCAGGCTCCACCCAGGGATGAAGAATGACTTCCTCTCCCACTGCTCTGGTCAGATTTGTGCAACAGCCACTCGACAAGTACTTCCCAAGACCTATGTGCTCAGAGCATTGAGCAACCGAGGACATGTCTGGCACTGGAAACGGTTTGGGGAACACAAAGCGAGTCAGCTGGGGGTGCAAGAACTGCTCTTAAAGCGGCACTGTGTGGATTTAGAAAAGTGATATTCTCAAGGGGCTCTGCAATTGAATCTGCTCTTTCCTAGATAATTACAATCCATTATAACTGTGTTTGGAGCAGAGATGTTTTCATTTTATTGTTTGGTAGCAACAGCAGGGCAACAATTGGAAAGTGTAAACACAATCTGCCTCCATGCATAAGTCATCATTCATTATGACAAAAGATTTTAAGGGACAATATAATCCAAAAGTAAGTAGTAAAGGGAGTAAATGAACTTAGCACAAAGGCAGATTTGGATATTAGGATTGAATGCATTGTCATTGTCTGCCAAATTCTGGCGCTTGCAGACAAAACTTTTGCATGACTTTTCCTAATTTACTAATTTTGTGGCACCATCTCAAAATTCAGATTTGGTTACAGGTTGTTTTCAAACCATATCCAGCAGAGCCAATAATAGCAAGAACAGCCTGCTCTATAACTCATGATCCAAAGATGATCTCATGAACATGTAATGGATTCATGCAGTAATGTGATGATGTCAGGGTTCTTTGCTAGTTTACCGAGAATCATATCCTTCTCACTCACCTGATGAAAAATGTCAATCTCACTTTCACTCCTCTACAACCACATAATTATTGTGCTGCATGGTTTGTGAGACATGTTGGTGTGGAAGTAACATTTGCAAAGTCTGCCTAGAGGCACTGATGATAATATTCACTAATGGTATAAATATAGTGTGTGTACTTACTGTAAGTGCAGGAGAGTACTGTTTTGCTTATCCTTAACAGCTATCATCTTCTTTGTATCAGGCTACATTAAAAAGTAATAACAGATCAATAACTATTAGGCCAGTATTAGTACTACTTCAACAGAATGTATTTGTTCACTAATTTGACATAACTTGGATGCTCATACAGTCAAAAAGAAAGATTAATATCATGCACACAGTGTACACAGCTGCTGAGGTTTACTCATGATGACAGTCACGTGACTCTTGCATGTGGGATGTGCACACCACCTACTCTCATGTGAACTCTAACAAACACGTAACAAATACGTACCAGCTTTTTGTTTTTACCCTCATCCTCGCCAGACTTCTTTTTCGATGGTTTGTTAGGGTCGTCCCCTCCACTGGCTTGGTCCATTTTGGAAATGTACTTCCTCTTATTGATAAATAACTTCTTGTGGGCTTTGTGTCGCAAGAAATCACCAAACACGAAGAAAAAAACACCTCCAAACTAGGTCCCTGTGCCAGCGATGAAAAATACTACCCAAAAAATCACAAAATAAGGTTGTCCACTTCGTTCCAGCAGGCAGGGCAGAGGAGCAGCTTGGAGAGAGGTGTGGTAGTTTCCGTCCTGAGGCAGGGAGTCCTCGGCTGTAGTGGTTGTACCTCACCCCGTGTAAACACTTCATGAAAACACAACATATTATGTAAATAAACATTGCATGTGTTTGGCCAACCTGTCAACGGGTCTATGTCAAACCAATCTTTTTTCTTTACTCATATGTGTAACTTTCCGGAGCCTTACTTACATAAACTAAACAGTACAGACGACAGCATACTTGGGTTGAATTATATTTCAACATTGACCAGAAAATATATGAAAATACACGCAGCAGTATTTACAGTCTGCTTTCATGTCTACGTTATTACAGTGTAACAGTGCAACTTTTGACACAAACCGAAGCAATAAGTGAGAGGCAGTGTTATGCTAACACTTTCACAAATATCACTTTTCGAGCATGCTTGTCCATTGCTGGAGATGACTATGACTGCAGTCTGCATTTGTCACGTAGAATGCTTACACTTGTGTAACTCATAGATCTACTATAATAGATGGAACTGCAATCACCGTTGTCCTCTCTGCTTGGGATACTTTACAACAATGCTGAACATTTACCAAAGCAGCGCTTACAATGAATGGTAACATAAAACGATAGCATGGGCTATATCAGCCGAATAAATATAAAACGCGAATAAACTTGGCAAATTGACAAAATATAACAAATATGAAACAAATGTGAGAAATGTTCATATTGTTCCTACCTTTGCAACCAAACATGTAAACCAGGCCCACTGCGGTCCCGCCTTCTTGGCTGCCATTGGTTTTAGGAGTACGTCAGGCTCGGAACGTCCTGATATAATTGGTTGTTTTCTCTGTCAATCTAAGGGTTGGCGTGGCGTAAGGAAGAACGTGGTGACGTATGAGGTCAGTTTGCCGCTTATTAGCATAAAACATCTAGGCACAAGTGCAGAAAGAATCAACTCATTTTGCAGATTTATATGGTGGGAGTTACCAAAACATCTTATATTTGGTTATATTAAAACAAATATTTAGTTCTGCATTGATTCAAAACGCTTTTTTTCATTCATCCTCTGTCTCATATTTTTAGAATTATTATAGAATTTTTAGAATATATTAAATTATTATCTAAAATACATAAAACATCTTCATTGAGTAATCTTATTCCTAATGTCTTGTGCACAATGATCAATGATGACACTGAAATGTTGTGGGACAAATCAATGTTCTCTTTTTAGTTTAATATTTTGCAGTTTATATTAAATTATCCATCTACAAGCTCTACCAGCTTTTTCCAAATGTTTTGCGCCAGAAACTGCACTGCATGCCTGAGGCAAAACACGCTCCTTATTGAAAACCTCTTCATACCAAAAGTTCAGCTTCAAGTTCACTCTGCCCAGTCTTAAAAGGGAACTGTTCAGCTGGGGAAATGGATGTTCTGGGTTTACCTTTTCACTGCTTGTCTAACATTTTGGAAACAAAATGTGTTTTATCCTGCAGAAAAAGATTTTAAATGTTTTTACTAATTTGACACACACAAAAAGTATGAAGTACAGATCATTGGGACAACTGTAATTTGTGGAATAACACATTTAACCTAAAACTGAGAAAATGTTATAATTACAGAACTGGTTTAATGAGATAACATGAAGACACTTTAAATTAAAATATTGCATTGGTGTGGTCTAACTCTTTTTTGGACAATAAAAGATGCTTCATTGTGCAAATTATGTGCTATATAAATACATTGTCACATGAGTAAAGTGGTATAAAAAAAATCTATTTATTGTGAAAGGTCATATGGTGTTTTATTTTGTAAAGCAAGAAGCTCACAATCATCATGTAGAGTTGGTCTCTTGAGACTCTAGATATATTTGCATTGTACCATATTTACAAAACTAGTTAGAAAGGGTCGCTAAAACATTTTACAGAAATGGTCATGAATGTGCATTATCACAGTTCAAATACACAAAACAATACAATAAAAGAAATAGTTGGAGAACAACACAGTCTCATATTATCCTGTAACATACTGTATATTGTATATTCATTGAGATCTGTCATCAGAACATGGTCTAACCAAATTCAAAATTCTTCTTATTCCATATTTCACCAAGACTATGGAGTGATGACTGTGGTTGTTCCATCTCATATATTGTGTGAGTAGATTAAAACAGCAAAGGACGGTTTATGAGCACAATAATTATTGATGCTATCTTTTAATTGTAAGAATATGGTTTTTTGAATACTTCAAAGCTTTTTCAGTAACAAACAAAAAAAAAGTTTGCCTAATTATAAATCATTCTGTGCTCTGTGTTATGGAAAAAATATTCAAGTTGAAATTAAAATGGTAATTACAACAGAATGTGAAATTATTGTGTAGACAAAACCTAAAATCCAAGAAATGAAAGAAAAAATAAATTAGTGCTGCGAGTCGATTCCAACATACTGATGAGTTTTACATCAGGCACAGTGAAGAGGAGCGGAAGGAAAGAGGCTTCAAACTCTCACCATCAGACTTATATCTGCATTTTCTTTTTTTTTGTCAACTTCCACAAATAACACTTTTGAAACAAAACCTCAGCTGACCTACAGGTAATTGTTTTGTTTAAATCAATATCTTTTCTCAAGAGCTATTACTTAAATTAAATAAAGACTTAAAATATATTACATCGGCAGCTTTCCTATAAAACCACCAGACATGGAAAACGAATCCATGGATTTGTTTTCAGTAGGTCAGACTATGGCTTGCTCTCTGAGCTCTCAAAACAAGCTTTAAAACAGATGCAGTATGCTACAGCCTGTGTCCAGACTATTGGCCAGGAAGTACAATCACATTAGTCCAGTTCTCAGGTCCCTAACCCTAACCCTAAACCCCAACCCTTCCTGTGGCTCAGAGAATAGACTTTAAAGCAGCTCTTTTTGTGTATAAGTCTCTCCATAGCCTTGCACCAAATAATATCCGTGACATGTTGGTATCATAAGAGCCAGCTCAGACTTTGAGGAGCACAGGGGCTGGCCTCCTGCTGGCTGGCCAGAGTCAGGACTGAACATTTCTGGTGTATGCCCCTAGAATCTGGAGCATCTGGTCCTAATGAAAATGGACAGAAGACCTCATCTCTGGCATCGTTTTAGTCCAAGCTGAAAATCATTTTATTTAGCTGTGGGTATGACTGAGTTTTATATATTGAGTTTTAATTTTGAAATACAGAATTGACCTAATGTATTATAGTGTCTGTAAATGTTGATTATTTTATGTCTTTGTAAAGAACTTGTGTTGCACTGCATGAATTGTGCTTTATTAATAAACTTGATTGATTGAAATTATGTTGAAGCTCCTTGCAAGCCCAATCAATAGGACAAACAAGGTCGTGCAAAATCACAAGAATGTGAACAAATACAAGACAATAAATGTAGACCAACTTATTATGTTTATTCATTCAACAACATTTATGAAAAAGTTTTGTAAAAATATCATGGAACCGCTATAATTATATCTTGTGCATTCACAAACAATGTTACCTGTCACATTGATTTATTCTGAGCATGTTATTTTTTGTCATAAATCCTTTCTACAGCAGTGCAATTGATGATGACCAGAAGGAAGCCCAGGCGAAACAACAACTCAAGATAAATGAGTTCACTGAATTTCAATCTCATTTCAATTCAAGAGAAAGATACGTTACAAAGAGACTTCTCTTTGTAACGTTGCACACTTCTGAAACAAAACAGGAACATTCAAGCCTAAACCTTTAGATTTTTCCACTTTATACCTAGATATTTGCCGCAATAAAGTGTCTGTGGCGATGCAATTCTTGTGTCTAATGTCTATTTTACAAACCAATTGTGATGAGTCCAATTTTAAAAACCACCATTTCATATAGTCACACTGGCATTTTTTGCACATAACTGGTACACAGGTACACATGGGCGGCAAAAATAAAAAATTCATAATGTCACAATTAATGTGAACAGTTTAGGAAGAAATACGCAAGGGTTGCTTAATATTATTTCCTAAGGTTGGAATTGTTATTTACAGAGCATATGGTATTTATGTTCGTTTGTATTCCTCAATCCAAACATAAAATTATGTGGGGATGCTTTGCCAAATCAATTGCCAGTCAATAAAGTGTGTTTTAGGCCAAGTTATTGCGTAACATCTACATTGTAAACTTGAGGACACATTGTACCTCAACCCAGTCTGTACCCAAGGTATTGAGTCTCTTCTCTTGCCCCTTACAGTTAGGGTTAGGCTTAGCATTAGGGTTAGGGTTCAACATTAACTCAGATTTTTTTTCCCCAGGACCAGAGCAAGATGTTGCAGGTGGTCTTCCTAGTTGTCGGTCTGGAAGGCAGTGTAGGGTCGACGTGACTTCTCAAAAGGTACTTGCCAGTATGCTTTGCATCTTCAGGATCACCACCGGACTGTATTAGTTTGAAGGCTCGATGACGCCCGGACCTCTTTTAGTCAGATGACATGGTTCTCCAGGGATGTCTTCCCTGGGTTGGCCGCAAGCGGAAGGAACATTGTCAGAAACTTTGAATAAGTGCACTCTGGTGCTTCTTTTCAGGAGTCCTTCAGTTCCAGCGTTCTCCTCTTTCCCCTCCACAAGACATGAAATAAAGATCTCATCAATTAAGATCTCATCAGATATGCCTACACTTGAGAAGAACTGAACAAGGTCACAGAAGTGAAAAAGAAATTGTCCTTTTCACTTTTCAAGAATATACTGGAAATTAAAGCACTACTACTTTTTTGACAGACTGGACAGGTAAGCCAGAACTTTTGCACATCTGTATACATGGACGGCCAAAAAAATGAGAGCTGACACACAAATAAGTTTTGTTTTGCCCCAAATGACCGGCCCAAGGTAAAGTTTTGATCAAGGTACAAAACACTGTCTTCAGATTTGAGGAGCAACCAAACATTTTATGCCATTCTCAAGATTGTACAATATATCATAACAAAGCTTTATTGTCAATACACACAGGTAGCGTAATAGGGGTTTAGTTTGACTATTGCATGATTACCAAATAAATGTAAACACAAACAAGTGGGTCTGAGCTAAGAGCTGGGGTGAGTAATTTGGTTGACAGAGATAATTCAATCTGAAGAGACTAGGCATTATTATCGTATATTGGAAGAGAAGGAATCTGACATGACATAAATTAGCACAAATAACAAATGAGACTAAGACTTGGCGCTTAGACCATGGAATTGCAGAAAGGGAACAAGATTATGAGATGAAATCTCCCGGGGCCTAGACCCTGGTGGTAGCTCGGAGAAGGATGAAAGAGGTGGGTTTGAAATACCAATTGCTGTTGTTGTGAAGCAATAGTGGGGGGACTTGGAATGGTGTGAATGACGCCCCACAAATTTGAGAGGTTTGATGAGAGTCCCTTGCAGTTTATTTGAGGTTTACTTGGGGATAGCCTGAGTTAGAGTTAACAGAGTAATAGACATTATAACTATATATTGACAGTTTTTGAATTAACATTTAATGAAAAGAAGATAATTGCACCAATAATTATCACTGATATGCAACAGAACCAGAAAAAAAAAAAACCCTTAGGCTGCAGTGTAGTGATCCTTATAGAGGATCAATAATGATGAGTGTGCATGTGTGATACACTCATCCACTCAAAGCAAGTGGCCAATGCCAACAAGACTGAAGTCTGCTAGCTTAGCAACAATAGCATAATAACATTCCATATAGTATATATATATATATACATATATATACATATATATATAATTGTCCACGCACCTTTGGCCCTCCGCGGGCGGTTATCCCTCTCT